AGGGTTAATAATGGAAGGCAAAGTACAGCCCTGCTCTTCCCAGGGACCGTGTGTGACTATCTCCTGACCACACTTTGGGGACTGCCCCGCTCTTCTCGGGGTACACACGCCTAAGACAGACATGGCCGGCCCCGGGGCCTGAAGGTGGCCCTGACCATGCATGCTGCTCTTCCTGGGCAATGCATGTGACCCTCTCCTGGCCACACAGTGGGGACAGCCCTGCTCTTTCTGGGGACCGCCTGTGGCCCTCTCCTGGCCACACTGTGAGACAGCCCTGCTCTTCCCAGGGACCATGAGTGACCATCTCCTGGCCACACTGAGACAGTTGTGCGGGCAGCAGGCCCTGCCCATCCTCAGCTCCCAGATGCACCCCCTCTTCAGTGCTGGGGACCGTCACTGCCTCCCCGCACCGTGGTGGGACCCCTCGACACTCTGCTCTGCTCAGAACATGCTCCCCCCACCCAGCCCTCATGGGCTGCCGACCACGGGAGACGCGGCCCTCTCGTCCCTGTCTGCCCCAGCCTCACGTGTCCCCACCTACCCTGTCACCCGCTGTAACACTGCTCGGGAGTGGCCACGGGGCACTGGGGCTTGCCCACCTGGGGTCTCCTGGCTCCGACGGCTGTGCTGTCCCTGAAGCCAGGCCCTGCCTCATCAGGTCTGTGACCAGGACGGCCCTGGGCCCACCTGCAGCATTAAGTAGGCACTGACTGGCAACCGGCCACAGGTTTACCTCTCAGAGAGGGGCCGGCTGGAGCCCCTGAGCTCTGGATGAAGGCCATGGAGACGTAGCCTTGAGCGTGGGGACTCCTGGGAGCCAGTGCTCCTGTCCTGTAGCAACTGTGCTTACGTCCAGCAGTCTGTGCCCTCCCGGGGAGAGACCCTGCGAGGCCTGTCTGTGGAGAAGGCCTCTGATCATGGGGAAGGGGGACAGAGTAAAGCCTGCATCAGACAGGAAGAAGACAGGCATGGCCAGCCCCGGGGCCTGAGGGCGGCCTTTCCCTCATGCTCTCCGAAGGCTCTGGGACTTGGCTCAGGGTCCACATGAGGACCAGCACCCAGAGGACCCTGTGACCACAGCTCACTGTGACTTGGAAGGAACAGCCAGAGCCTCACATCCTTCTCAACTCTCTGCTCCGGGCCCTGCAGGGCAGCCCCTGGCCCACCCCCATCTCTGGGCCCCACGGGGCAGCCCCCCACTGTCTCCAGGCCCCACGGGGCAGTACCCCCATCACCGGGGCCCATGGGCAGCACCCCCATTACTGGGGCCCACGGGGCAGCACCCCTATCACCGGGGCCCACGGGGAAGCTCCCGTCACCAAGCCCCACAGGGCAGCTCCTGAGCCTGGCCCAGGGCGGGCTGACACCTCTTCTAGGTACTGTGGTCCACCTGGCTGCCAAGGTGTGCACTTCTGCTGCTGGCCTCTAGGTGGTGCTCCAGAGCAGTCCCTCTAAGGAGCCAAACCTGCCAGACCCCACCTGCCTTTTCATTTGTTCCCTCTGAGAAACTGAAGGGGCCTGCACTGGGCTGAGCTCAGCTGCTGCCAGAAAGGGAAGTGGTTCAAAGCCGCCAGTGGCTCTGCTGCAGGAAGACCTGGCGATCGGCCCCCACCTGACAAACTGATGGTCCCAACAGTGTTTAACGGGCAGTGAGAGCAGGTCGGGGACACAGATTCAGCACCAACAGGGCAGGGATGCAGCCACGTTCCTCAGAGAAACCATTTCCTGTGATGCTGAGCTTGTACATCCTTGCGCACTTGTGCCAGGAACCCTGTTGTCTGTGACCAGCAGCAGACACAGAGGTGGCCGGGAGGGGCTCTGCCGGAGACCCTCCTAGGAGGACACACCACCCTTAACCACTGCGGGACCATGACCAGTGGGGTGTCCATCGGCACTGCGGACACGCGGAGAGGTACTTCCAGGGGACAGAGAGAAACAGCTGGCAGGCCGGCCACGAGGGGGTGGGGCGGGTCACCTCTGCATTTGACACACCTGTCATGTCCAGCGGGCGCTTTTTGAGAGCGGTGACCACTGGCCCGTCTTTTCTGCGCAACAGGGGGCTGCTCCGTCTCTCGGCTACTTTCTGCTTCAGCCTGGACCGCAACTTCAGGTTGGGCTCAGAGGCTGTGTGAGAAGGAGGCGCCGATCAGCCTTGTAGACACAGCGTTGTTCATGGAGGGTCACGCTATCGCACTGGAAGTTTCAACGGGTGCACACGGACATGCATGTGCTTAATGCTGACCACCAGCCCATGAGGCACGGGACAGGACAAGAGTTCTCATCCCTGTCACTGCGCCAAACATGAAGCCAGGGCTGACTCTGCAGAGACTACCCACGATTAGATGTCATCTCAGAACAATGCCACTGGTGCACAGGCTGCGTGTGGTGGGTGGGAGGGAAGGGGACACACTGCTCTCTGGCCCACTCTGTCTAGGCATCATGCCCTGTGAGTGTGGGAACCGAGCAACAGAGTTGCTCAGGGCTTGGCCACTCAAACGATCAGGACTTGTAAACCCGGCAGGTCATATTCCCTGCATTGCTGACCCTTCTTCTCAAGGGGAAACTTCCAGAAGCAAACCTGGCTTAGCCCCAAAGGCTGCCTTCCATGGGCAGGTGGGTCCTTCCTTGGTGAAGCCCCCAAATTCTGAAGGTGCCACCTCGAGTCAGCAGAATCTGGATGTGGGAAGTACCTTCCTCCCTCGGCTCACCTGGGCTGGGGCGCGGGGAACACCTTCCTCTCACTGACCTGGGCCGGGGCGTGGGGAGCATCTTTCTCACTCGGTTCACCTGGGCCAGGGCGCGGGTGTTGGGTTTACATTCAGAACCATTTGCAAATGTCAGCCTTACGCCCACTGAGGGTCCTGCACCGGGAGCCCAGAATACCCCCAAGACCAATTAAGTCACAATTTGGGAGAGTACAGTTAGCAGGAGTTTGTGACACTCCCAGAGACTCCATCAGGTGAGTCTGGGAGCTGTCACCCCAGGTGCAGTGGCCTCCTGGGACAGCCCTCTGCTCAGTGATGGCATCTGTCCACTGGCTGCCGCCCACGGCATGGGGGGTGAGGCAGTAGTGCGACCTCATGAGAAGGGCTGACCGACCTCTGAGCTCGCAGGGGCCCTAGGCTCTCTTCAGGCTCCTACCACTTGTAGATTTCCCAGTGAATGGATGTTGGCCTTCTGAAACGGCAACCCCATGTCCTTACTTTTTCCGGAAGAGCCAAGCAGCAAGCCTCCGGTCGCGTGTGGCCTAGGAACCAGGGTCCTGATCCTGGGCATCAGGACCCTGATGGGTTGGGTGACTCCGGGCAGGGTGGGGCAGGCCAGCCGCGGGGACGTCGGGGCTTGGGACAGGGAGGCACTGCTGATGGCCTGGGCACAGCCAGGCTGCCAGATCTTCCACAAAGCACAGCCTGTGGGTCAGCCTAAATCAGGCTCCCAGCAAAATCATTACGAAGGTGCTAGACGCCAACGTTCAACCTGATCCAGTGTTTGCACAGCCAAGAAGTCCTTCCTACTGGCATCAGCCGTGTGCCAAATGTGAGTGCAGACTCATGCTAAGGCTTCCATGGTTACAGGTGGGCAGGGCTGTCAGCAGCCTTCCCAGTGGAAGGGTGTGACTCTCTGAGAAATACTGATTATTAGAGATGGTTGTGGGCTTGCACGGTCTGGTTTCTCCTCATGGTTTACACAAATAAACAAGCAAAAGCACGTGGCAAAGACGGTCTGTCAGCAAAACCAGCGGTCTCTCCGGTCACCTCGCTCTGAGGTGCTGCTGACACCGCCCGGCTTCCGCTCCCTCCCTCCGACTGGGAACAGACTGGGGAGGGACTGGGCCGGAAGCTTCTCTGAGCCTGCAGGGACACGGGACACACCTGGCCCTGGAGGGGAGGGTCTCCTGCCAATGGCCTTATGACACCTGCTTCACATGGAGCAAGGGGACATGTGGCATCAGAAGACAGTGTGTGCAGTGCGGGGCCGCTCCCGCGGGCTGACGGCTGTGAGACTGAGGGCCCTGCACCCCCGGGACCACCAGTTTCTCCAGAGGGATGGGGGTCACTTCAGATTCAGAGCTCTAGGCAGCAACGGCACTGTGCAGTGACCACTGGAGCGGCCGGAGGAGCCGATATCACCATGAGACCTGGCCCTGCTCAGCTTGGAGTCATGCTGCCTGGTGTGTGCGTGCGTGCCCACGCACACACACACACACGCCTCCAGACAGGAGCACAGTGATACCACGCCTGCCCAACACAGGCACACACACACCCCCCTTCACACAGGAGCATGGTGATACACCTGTCCAGCACACATACACACACACCTTCAGACACACACTCACACATGCCTTCACACGGGAGCATGGTGGTACCACGCCTGCCCAGCACACAGACGTGCACTTCAATGCTGGAGCATGGTGATATCACACCTGCCCAGTGCCTGCCTTTACCCATTTCTTCAACAGAACAAGAGGCACAGTGTGGTGACCGGCACTGGGCACATGTGGACAGAGACTGGGCCCTCCTCAACATGAAGGTCTGCTGTGCAAACTCCTGATGCCAGCCACCACAGTAACATCAGATTCTCCTATCAGTCGGTCCACGAGCACTTGGGAAAAATCCACTTGCTCATGGACACACTGTGTGGCTGATTAACAGTGATCCCATCTGGAGCCAGGGCTGCTGGAGGCCAGGGCCCCTGCCGGGTCTGGGAGCTGGCACGGGTGGGCGGGGTGTCACGGAAAGCGAGGGGCCTAAGGGGTGTGATGGGGCACCCTCCACTGCTCCTGCTCCCCCTCCTGGACTGGCTCTGGCCAGGGTGCTCTGCTGCCCACTGAGTACGCGGGTCATGCTGCCCACTCCCCCCCCATGAGCGCCGTGACTGGAAGGTGGTTCCGTGAGTGTCCACAACTATCTCGTAGGCAGGAGGCTAATGAACGGACAATGGTGGCTAGAAACATGGAGCCCAGCGCAGCTCCAGGCAGCGAAGCCCACACACAGCCCTCGTCAGCAAACCAGAGAAGATGCCCCGGCACCCTCAGCGACACCGCAGCCAAGCCGGGAAGCCGCAACGTGACCGGGGTCAGGAGCCTCACTCCAGCCATGCCACCAAGCAGCTACTGGCTCAGTTTCCCTGCCTGGGTCCCCGCGGGAGCCTGCAAGCCGTCCAGGGTCTGCACACCACACCCTGGGGAACCAGCGAGCCTCTCACAGTCCCCGAGAACATTGGCCATCACCACTGTGGACGCCCTGCCGTGGCCACGTGGGAAGGAGACAGTGAGTGGGAGCCGGGGCACTGCCTCGCTGGGGACAGCAGAGGGCCTCCCGGCCACTCCCAGATGCAGGATGAGATTGCTCCCGGAGACAGCTGGGGTGTTCCTGGCTGCTCACCTGTCTTCCTAAGAGGGAAGTCGTCTTTGGTGTCATACATGCCCAGAACCGGGTGGTTGTAGGAGGCTGACACCCCACTTTGGGGGGGCGAACTCTGGTCCAGGGAGCTATGCTGTGTCTTCCTGGGGGCAGAGAGCAGAGGACGGTTAGTGCATGGTGCTCGGTAAGCCTGCTGCGTCCACGTGATGGCTGGTCCAGGGGCTGCCAGCCCTGCCTCCACTGCCCACCTCTGCACCCCTCTGTCTCTTCTCTGGTAGCAAAGCTGAAATTAAACAAAACAAGCTTCAGACGAGTGGGAAGCAGCAGGCGGACACACCACCCCGAAAGCGGTCACCGCCTCACTGAGCTTAGCTGAGCACCTGACCACTGTGCCCCCAGGGCTCCTTCCAGATGGCTAGGAGGGCACCTTCCTGCAGATCTGAGAGGAGGATGGTGGCCAGGCCCTGGTGGCCCGGCGGGCACAGGAGGTGACCATCTGTGACCCCTGGCTTTGCTGGGCCATCAGCCGAGCCGTGCTCAGAATGATGAAGATGCAGTGTGTTCCATGAGCCCTTGAGCCGTGCTGGAGGAGTCGGGACAGACCTGCTGGCCGGCTCGCTGAGGCCTCTGGAGACCTGTGCAAGTGCACCAGGAGGGCTCCCACGCACCCGCGTGGCATGAGCTGGCACTGGGCCTCTTGTGAACACTCTGAGGCTCAGCTCCTGCGCAGGCAGCACGCAGGGTGGGACTGGCCAGGCAGGCCAGTCCCTGACGTCGCAGGATGGGCTCACAGTTAACGTTACGAGAAACTGTCCCACTGTTCTCCAAGGGGGCTGGCCCACGGCCCCCCAGCGGGTGACAGCCCGCATGCTCCACACTCTGCCACACGGGTGGCTTTAATTTCAGCCACTTCAGTGGGGCTGGGGGCAGCGGAGCCCAGAGGTAGCATCCTCCCCCAGCCTGAGAGCTGGGTTCTCTCTGTGGAGGTGCAGGTGTCCTGGACGGTGGACAGGCTGAGAGGAACCGAGAGGAGAGGCCCGCTGACTGCTGTCGGGAGCCAGCCCTGGAGGCCCTGGGGACCACACGGCCCCATGCGCATGCGGGGCTGGGGCACAGCGCTGTGTGCTGCCGGGCTTGGGGGCCATGGCCGGGGACCGACGGGGCGGCGACCAACAGTAGCAGGGGTACAGGGCCCCCTGGTCCTGATCTGCAGGCCTGACTGGAGATGTGACGAATCTCTCCATGTCTTATTTCGGGAAGCGTCTGCTCAAAGATCTGCCCGCTGTTTCCCAGCCGGCCGCCTGTCCTTGCGTCACGAAGCTCCTCACGCATCGTAGACACAGGTGTGTTCTCAGATATGTGCGCCGTGAGCATTTTCTTCAAGTTTGTGGCCTGACTTGTCAAAGGGCAGAATTTTAAAATTTCAATAAAGTCCAATTTATCAAGTTTTTATTTTATGGTCAACAATTTTTGTGAGAAATCTCTGAGCAGTCTGAGGCCAGGAACATCTCTCAAGGACGCTTTGGAGTTTCCGTTTAGGTCTGTGGCCCGTTGGGAGTTGATTACTGCGGAGGATGTGCAGGTCTTTCTCTCTGCAGCCCAATTTTCTGACAAACAAAACTCTGTCACACAGCAGCGAGCGTGAGGGGCCTTCCTGGTAACGCGTGACCGAGGGCTCCACATGACACGGCGAGGAGGCGGCCAACCTCCACGTGTACCGCCCTTGCGCAGGGCTTCCTCCAGCCGACTTCTACCCTAGGCACCACCCCCCGCCAAAGCACTGTGGAAGGAAGGCGCCCCCACCCAGCTCAGTCCATCCTGAGCAGGGGGCACCTGCCACGGGGAGCGGCCGGTCACTGACCGTGGCCCCTGGAAAAAGCTGGAGAAGCGAGATCCCTGCCTCCCCTTGCCTCCTCCCAGCAGCCCCTGCTTACGCCCACCTCCCTGGCACCCCCTCTGTTTCCATGCCTTCCTCGAGTGCAGCCACTGTCCCCTGCAGCCTCCTCAACTGGGGGACGCTTCCCCAGGCCACTGGGCTCCCCGCCTCACGCACAGGCCACCCCCGTCCCCCTGAGACACGCCCAGCACCACTGCTGCCGCTCAGGACTCGAATGGGACGTGAACGTTCCCCGCCTCACAGGATGGCCCAGCGCTTCGTGGTCTGCCAGTGGTCCGGGCTCAGGAACGGGGTCTTGTACAGCAGTGATCAACCCGCCGGGGTGCTTCCCGACCTGCCCAGGCCGGGAGCCAACAGCAGTGCCCGGTGCCCATGCCCACAGCCCTCCACCTGGGTGCTGCTACTGCACTGGCGGGTGCTAGACCACCTCCCACTGCTCTCAGGGGCACGCCACGAGGCCCACCTCACACTGCAGCTGACAGACCAAGTCTGGTTCCCGTCCCACATCTGACCACGTGGCGCCCTGGGCCCTGAGGAGAGCAGGGCGGCGTGAGGGGCAGGCTGCCGTGCCTGCGCCTCCACTTACCCGTACCAGTAGCGAGGGTCACCCGACAGGCAGTGGTTCAGGTTCCGGTGGGCCAGCGCCTTCTTCTTGTTGAGGACAAACTCCTGCAGCTTCATCTTCACTTCTGTGCTGGCCACTGCACCTGGCACGGGAAGGCAGAGCGGCTGAGCAACAGGCGAGGCACAGGGAGGCGGGCGGCGCTTCCGGTGCCCACAGCGCGGCCCCCGAGGCGGAGGCGGAGCAGTGGCAGTAAGTGGGCCCCTCCCATGCAGACTTGTCTCTAACTGCCTGGTGTAGGACGTACATTTCAGCAGCGGAAGACTTACGGGTCCTTAACACAAAACCCCTTTGGATGGGCCTTCCTGTAAGATGGGGTAACAGGCAGACAAGCTCCACAGACGCTCTTCAACAAAGAAAAACCAACTGACAGAGAGCTGGAGCCCTGAGCTTTGAAAGGAAGGATACAGAAGTGGATTAGGACCAAGCAGTGGAAAAACCTGAACAAAAACAGTGAGTACAGAGACGGTCAGAGCCGTGGACTGTCAGCTACTCTGACGGGATCAACAGCCTGAATATTTCCAAGTGGTGTTGGGACCTGAGAATTGACCTAAAGATCAGCCCTGGTCACCAAGGGCTGCAGGGGCGACAGTGCTGGTGGCCTGTGACTGGGAAGGGAAAGAGCAAGGAGGGAGACAACCTGAGCTGTGGATTTCAGCTGTCCAGGGGATGCAGCCATTTTGAATGTTTACACGTGGTGGCCATTTTGGATACTTAAATTGACCAAGGGAGCAGCCCTTTTGAATATTTACAAGTGATGACCATTTTGCATTTTAAAGTGACAGCACTCTCATTCAGACTCCAGGGACCTAAGAATAGGCTCCTGTTCTGGTTCCCCAGCTCTGCTCTGACAGGAAATATACCACAAACGGGACGGCCTTAACAAAAAGGAGTTTATTCTTACAATTTGGAGGCTTTAAGTCCAAGTTCAAAGTGCCAGGCTCTAGGGGCTGGGTGAAAGCCCCTCAACCTTGGGCTTCAGCTC